TCTTCCAGTTGTCACGAAAGCCAAGAACCTCTCATCCTTCTGAATTGAGAGAGGGAGGGAGGGAGGGAGGGAGGAAGGAAGGAAGGAAGGAAGGAAGGAAGGAAGGAAGGAAGGAAGGAAGGAAGGAAGGAAGGACTCAGTGATAGCCAGCTTAATCGTTCTGGACTAGCTTATGGGCATTAAAACCGTTTTCATTAGGAGGAAAAATTTCCCAGCCAGGCTGAGAAAGCGCATATCAGGTTTCAGCCTGATTCACTTCAAAACCGCCATGAAAATTAGGACATTTTCTTCACACCACAATGAGTTAGTCATGGAAATTCTTCCTTAATCACTGCTACCATGGCCACAGTCATGAGGAGCATGCCCTGGGCCTCTGAAATTTTACGTGACAATATTGAAGCGTGTATTTCCTTCCCTGCCAGCAAGTAGAAGTATGTGCCAGTTCTCAGTCTGTGGAAACATACCAAGATAACCTGAGGTTCTCCTTGCAGCAAGGAACCTCATCACTGGGGTATCTTTCTTCATAGCAGTTTAGTTTGATTAGTGCTTAAAAGAACATTCTTTATAAGCTAAAACTATAAAAATTAAACTTGGCTGAAATGTGCATTAAGAGGCTAAACGTGGTTCCCCTGAGGGACTCTGACCCTCCTCTTACTGATGAGTGACAGAAACGAGGCAGACTTCTTGGCCATCTGTCGTGGAGATGCTTGCTGAGTGTGGCCAGGCTCCAACATGCCTAGGTCTTTTTAGTCCAAACCCCAGCCAATAGAGCTAAGTGAGCCAGCCAAGTGCTTTCCTGCTGCCATGGCACAGAACGCTGCCTTCTGCCCTGCAGCTGCCATGTTGTGTCCCACTAAGAGCCACGTTTAGAAGCTATACTCTCAGAGTAGGCATTTTCCTTCAGATATTTCATTCATTCATTTGTTCCTTCTTGCCTCAACAGAATATCAAGCATATTTTTCCTAGGAACGAGGTAGACTTTGAGGGTAAGGCCCTGCCTTCCTGGCAGCCCAAATAATAGTCAATGGGCACTATGCTTGTAAGTCATCTGAAGAATATAATTTATTAGCGCCCATTACATGAAATTTCCCCTGGGTATGACATGAACAAATGTGTCCTACCCCAGATAGGTCACCAAAGATGGACCAGAATATGATTCTGCCAAAGTCCAACTTGGGACCAATGAGTTTATTGGGCTTACACAGCATGGGTGATGGGTTACTTATAGGAGCATGAGTAACGCCACAGCAGCCATACCACCAAAATATCTTGTAGCACGATTAATAAAAACCAGAGACAGAATTGGGGTTCAACATAAAGGTCAGAAAAGCAAAACAGCCAGTCATTGGCTCTCTTACCTCTACTTTGGTCTGAAATGGTGATCCTACCTCCAGGAATCTCAGAATGAGACTGTGTGTGAGAGCTGTTTCCTCAGTTTTATATTCTTCACTAGTGCTGGGATTAAAGATGTGCACCTACCACCGCCGGGATTCTATGGCAAACTAGTGTGGCTACTGGGATTAAAGGTGTGTGCCACCACTGCCTGCTCTGTCAGGCTGATCAGTCTGGCTGTTTTACTCTCTGATCTTCAGGCAATCTTTATTTATTAAAATACAAATGAAATATCACTACAACATCTCACCTTCCATAGCTGTATAAATGGAGCCCCTCCTCGATTAATCTTCTCCCCTCTACATACTCTAGAGCAGTGCTTCTCACCCCTCCTAATGCTGCGACCCTTTAGTACAGTTCCTCATGTTGTGCTGACCCCAACCATAAAACTATTTTCATTGCTGCCTTGTAACCGTAATTTTGTTACTGTTGTGAATCGTAATATAAATAACTGAAATATCTGATGGTCTTAGGAGACTCCTGTGAAAGGGTCGTTCTTCCCCGAAGTGTCGAAATCCACAGGTTGAGAGCTGCTGCTCTAGTACCTTCCAAGGACCATGAGGTCACATATTATTAGGGCTAAATAACATACAGTGGCCTGGAAAGCACATGAGGGAATAATTGGAATCTTGGGCGAGGGTCTATTGATCCTCTCCACCCCCTCCATCTATGAAGGGATGAGTATATTGTTAGCATGGACCATATAGCATGGCCTCAGGCCCCTGCAATAGAAACAGAAGTTTCCTGGTGTGAACTTAGCCATCTCTGCATGCTGAATCCATCCCAAGGTGAGCCCATCTTCTCCCCTAGCGAGCCCATCTTCATCCCATGGTGAGCACATCTTCTCCCCTAGTTTTGGCACCCCTCTCCTATTCCATTCTGCATGCTGCACCATTTCACTTCTGCCCCCTTTTCCCAGCTGTAAGGGTGCCTCTCTGATCTGTTATCAACGATTTGAACCTGTAACCAAATGCTTTCGGCAAGGGCTTCAATATCGCTGTAGCTTTGCTGTCGGGCTAGCCCTCCTTCACTGGATGCTGGAGGACCACTTCACTGAAGAGATTTACTCCCTACGACTTGCCTTGGCAGGCTATGTACTCCCAGGGAACAACCCAGCACTGGAAGTGGGAACAGGAGGCTCAGTTGGCCAGTTAGGCTAGCTACTAGCCGTATTGGTGAGCACCAGATTTGGTGAGAGATTCTGTCTCAAGAAATACAGTAGAGAGTGATTGAGTAAGACAGCCAACATCAACCTCTGGCCCCTCCATGTATACATGACATGCCTTTCCCTTACTCTTTCCCTCTCTCTTCTCCCCTCTCTATCCTTTCTCTCTCTCTCTTCCCTTCGCTTGTCTCCCTGCCCCCATAAAATAATTGTTGACAGGAGTCAGCTCTGGCCATCCAGCAGAGAACTAGAGTCAATTGACCTTCAATTGTTCTTTAATCACCTCAACCCTGCTCAGGTTTTGCCTCTAAAGCTTGTTTGGGTTTCCTGGACAGGGTGATGATATACATCAGGCTCAGTCCTGAGATCTCCCAGCCAAGGCCCCTGGCAAGGGCTTATTCCTTGGAACTTTCAACAGCTTTCTCTTCTACTCCCTCCCCTTGCTGTCTGCCAAGCTTCTGATCCTCTGTTTTGTCTCCTTGCTCCTCTCCCTGAAGCTTCCCCTGTCCTCCTCAGCCAGGCCCACCCTGACCAGCAAACCGCCCTAGCTGAGACCCCATTTCCCACCCCACCTCCAGCAGCCCCGCACCTCCTTGGCTAATCTGCTGTAGGCATTGCATGGAGAATGCATGCTGGGGGTGTTTTATGTGGCACGTTCCTATGATAGCAACAAACAGGAGAGGATGATTTGAGGAGGAATTATTCTACAATAGGAAATAGAATAAATGATGAATTGCAGTGCCACCAAAGATTATATAAAGCATGGAGAACTTTGAGACATGACATCCAAGGTTAAGTAAAATAAGCAGAGTACAATATGATATATAACATGAGTTATGTCTTATTTTCAAAAAGCCTGGAGGAAAATAACTGAAATGCTAACAGTGGTTGTCTTGATGTGTTGATATTATTACAGACTTTCTTCTTCTTCTTTTTTTTGGTTACAATTTCACATAAAATGCATGAAATATGTATTACTTTTGTATCTAAAAAAACTGATTTTAAAACGATGAATTGATATGTTAATGTCACATAATGGCTTTTTTCACATCAATCCAACTGTATAATAGGGAATTTCTATTTCAGACAATACATACTTGATAGAGCTAAGTCCTGGGTAGAGCCCAGAGAGGAACCTGTTGGGAAAATCAGAATATTTAAGGGGAAGGCTCCTGAGAGGGGCCAGCCCAGCCAGCCAGCTCTGGATAAGTATGTCCTAGCAGTATGGTACTGTGCCTTCCCCAGCCCACCCAGCATCCTCCTGGTTCCCTGCTGAATCATCTGGAGAAGTAAGACCCTTTATGAGTCACTCTTGGGTGCTTGATGCTGATTGGCTCCTAACTAGCCTCAGAACTCCACTGCTAAGTTCTCTTTGTGTGATGCTTGAAGGTGTTTCCCTCATCCCAGGAATAATGGTACCTAGTTCCTTCCCACTGCTCATTCCTCTGAGCCTCTCATTTCCATCACCCTTGCTTTTAGCTCCAAGAAGTCCACAGAACAGGGGAAACCCCTTGCCCTGCTCACCGACAGTGGCAAAGTCAAGGCAGAAACCTTTCTCCTCATACATGAGGACACACGTGACTTTCTGTTCATCTGATTGTCAATCACTAAGTTTAAGTTCTTTGAGGGTGAGGCTCATCCCTGCACATTTGCTGGTGTCGCCTCAGGAGCTCTTACCCTGGGTGGCACAGAGTGGCTGTCGGATAATAGCAGTGTTCAAGGTGACGATACATGCCAGCAATTCCAGAGATGCAGAGGCTCAGGCAGGAATATTGGGAGTTCAAGGCCAGTGCTTATTTTTTAATGATATATTGAAGATGCTTAAATATGGAATGAATGGATGTATGGACAGACAGATGACTGCTGGAGAGAATGTCACCACTGAAAGATGATTCTGAAAACAGATAGAGCCAGACTCAGTGCATTATCCGAGTCTGATCCCCTTGCCTAGGAGGTTGGTCTAACACGTTGACACCTGATGGCCTGACTGTTGTACTACAAATAGATGAGACAGCTCTGACATCTTGTCTTCTTAGAATCAACAGGAAACAGCATTCATATATCCATTGCTGTTATACCATGTGATAACTGTCTTTTGTGCCGAGACTTCAAGAATGTCCTGTCTACTCAAACGGTTAGATTTGTGAAGTAGAGAAGAGTCCTCCTTTAATCCTTATTCTGTAGCTTTTGAAAGATTTATGAATGTAACTGCCAAAGGGAAAAAGGCAAGAGCTTTTTCTCTCTTGCTTACTAGCATGCTAAGCTTGCTAAGCTAGGAGGAAATGGTTATTGCATTCCATTTGAGTCCTTTATTGAATGACCCTAGGGTATCAATGGCCTTTGTAAAAGATAAAACATAATCTAGATTGACAGGGTGCTTATAACAAGGGCCCTTTCTCCTTCTTATTTTTGTTCTTAAAAAACCTGTTTCATTTCGTTTTAGACCTAGAAGGTTTTGACTCTGTGGTATCATCTACTGAGAAACTCAGCCACCCAACCACAAGCAGACCAAAAGCTACGGGAAGGCGGCCTCCATCTCAGTCGCTCACATCTGTAAGTGTCTCTTTACTTCTCTACAGCTGAAAAGCAAAAAGGACTGGAGATTCTGGCTAAGGACTCTTCAAGAGATGCTGCCTTTTCTATACCCCAGAAGAGGGAAGGGGAGAAGGAAGCCGCCACATATACTGCCAACTAAAAATACTTGGAGAATCTTTTGAATCGAGCAGTATTGCTTTCTGTTTGCTCTTTGTGTTTCTGCCAGCAAGATGGCACTCCGTTTCCCACTTTGCTTCTGTCTCTCTTTAGACCAGTTCTTGTTTGAACCTGAAATGAAATTGGAAAGCAAAACAGAGAAATAGCCTAGTTTGGCCTATTAAGAAGACAAAGCTTACTCAATAAATATTTGCCACGATGCAGTTGCAGCCAGTGGCCCGTATCTTCCCAAACCCCATCATCAGAAGGCCTCCAAAGAAACCCATACAGACCTCCAAGAGGTTGTATTTAAGCTTATGAAGTACATGGTCTATAGAAGAGACCAATGAGAACACTCAATGATAACCCAAAGATGGTTGATTTTGTCTGGGAAGTTTTAAATAACTTTTTAATTATGAACCTACTATATTCATTGTTGTGCCAAATTTGAGCAACATGACACATAAGGAAGAAAGTAAGTTTTCCAAGTCCTGCCATAAGAGCAAAGAACTGCTGTAGCCTCTTGTTGTATATAGCCTTAGATTTTTTGAAAACTTTCAATTTTTTTTTTGTTCAAAACTGGGATCATGTAATATAGGCTGTTTTCATTTTACTTCCACCCCTAAACTTAAACTGCACACCATTCTCTCCAATCATTACCATTTCTTCCAGAACGACAAATTTAATGACTGCCTACTTTTTACAGTGTAAGCATATAAGAATTTATCTAGTGAGTGTACTATTTATTGTTGTATTTTGATGATGACTCCAAGTCTTTGTTATAAGCCATACTGACATGAATGTTGTTAGGTTTGGGTTTTCTGAATGTGGGGCACTGGGAAGTATGTTGCCTTGCTGTTGCCATTAGTTACAGACTCCCCACCCCCACTTCACCCCCGCCACACACACGAGGTCATTTCCCCTCCATAAGCAGCGTGTATGTGTTCATTTGTTTTGTCTACTGATTATCAGTCTGTCTGTCACATTGCCTTGTCCTTTGCAGTTCTAAGGCCTTAAAACCTCCCTCCAGCTACACCAAGGAATTTAACCATTTGCAGGTTTCTCAGGATTTTTCTCTTTTTGCCTCCTCATCAATCTCGCCTGTGTTCATATCATTTAGAGGAAAAGTGAATGCCACTTCCTTCGAGCCTTTTCTCTCATATCTACGGAGTCTGGAAGTATGGCATGAATTGTCCTGTTTTTCTGCCCTATATGAACCACACATAACTTTGTGTTGATACATTTTTTGAGATAAAGACTTAAAGAAGTGGCTTCCTTTACACTCTTTTAGAATTCTCTGGCAGCCTGCCTTCTTTCCTTTCTCCTGTCCTCATTCTACAAGCCCAACATGCACATATACACCCAACCTATCTATTGCTTCTTGCCATGTTTGCATTCCAATTTCCCAATCCTACCACTTCTGTCTTCTCTTTAAATCCTTCATCATTTTTGTTTTCCTTCCAAGTTTTCGTAAACCTTTGAGGTATAAAGAGCTTTGTGTCTCTCCAGGATTAAATATGAAGTGGTTCAAATGATTCCCCCTTAGCTCATAAATCCCATGTTGAGAAGTTTGGGTATTATTTTTGAGACCAAGAAGTGGTACCTCATCATCACCCAGATTTTAGGCTACACACAGTTGTTTATTTCTTGGTCGACATATATTCAGAGACATCTATCTCCTGTGGACAGGACACTGTGTCAGATGCCAAGGATCTACACGGTCACTGCCTTTAAGAAGGCTTACTTTGGTGACTCTACGTCTGGCATCTTATAAAAAGTGATTTTATTTGGACGTAAAATAGAATACCTTGGTGCTTTAATGATATATAGTGAGCCGATTCTTGCCATTCATTCTTATCCGTCCCCATTAGGGTGGACACACTAAATTCTTGCTCACTCTTGAAATTAGCACCTGTGGGGTTTTCATAGCAAATGGGATTAGTGGATAAGGACATAGTCCTCAAAGGCCAGTGCGGGAATAACTGAAGAAACACTAGTTACGGTTCCCCGGCCTGGGGCAGTTTCCTTCTAATAGGAGCTCAGGCAATATGAGTTATGTAAAAGGAGGCTTTTTAAATAAAATCTTGAAAAGATCCATATATCACACAGTGGTTGAGTAGGTAAGCCTGGATTACTAAAAAAGCTTGGTGTGGGGGGTGCATATTTTAGGTAATTGGATTTTCAGATTAAATGAAGATTAACAAATAAGACCTCTAGAAGCCAAACCTTGGCTGAAAAATACCCCTAAATATTTTAAGTTTCTGCCTTGGTAAACAGGATTAAAGGAAGGAAAAGTATTTGTGAGCATAATTTTTTCCATTTTTTTCAAATGGTAAATCTAAAAAGAACCATTTATCTACCCCAGGTTAGAAAGCAAGGGAGTGAAAATGAAGCTGAATTTGAGCTCGCTCCAACATATTTCTAGAAGACTCTTCATTTAAAAAAGAATCTTTGCACCTGGGACTCTTTATTTCATTTGTTTTCTTCTAAACTTGAGACATTCTAGCTAAGGAATTCCTTGTGAACTAGAGAATTCTAGTGACTTGCTCCCCACTCTTATCTTTTGGGCGTTCACAGTGATTTCACAGTGAGGCAGAAAGGGCAGAGGTGTCAAACTGTATTTTACCCATTGATGCTGCTGTTCTGTATAAACCTTAGCAAATACACTCCAGAATGGTGCTTACTGTTCATAGTAACGAGGGCAGGGATTAGTAGCAGATACCAAAGGAAAGGTGAGCTTATGCAAGTGGACAGGGCTATGCTGTGGGGCTATGTAAATGCCCATTACTCTTGGTCCCTTGCCTCTAGAAATGCCCTCCTCTCAAATGGATATTTGAAGGCTCTTCCGTCTACAGCAGATGTAGTAATTCTAGAGTCAAGGAATAGGGTGCAAAGACGGATGAAGGAGAGGAGGATCTGAGGCAGTTTCCTATCGACTGTGGGTCATTTTCTCCCACACTGCTAGCCCCAAAAGGACTGGGACCACATGGCATATGGTCATTGAGCCTGCAGTAGCAGCTCAGTGTAAGGCACACAGTAAGAAATGTTTGGAGAAAAGAGAGTCTTGGAAAGGCTGTACAACAGATGCTTACGTGGTTGAAATGATTGATGGGCATCAGGGGCAGCTCCCAGTTTAGCTTCTTGGGGCTTGGTCCAAGTCCTGCTGCTAGGGAGCCATACGGTTATCTGTTGTAAGAAGATAAGAGCATCCTTTCCGCTTCACAGTGTTATGAAGACGGATCAAATAGAAGTGCTGATTGCTTTGGAAAGCAAACAGCATCACATTAACAAAGCTGTGTCAGCTAAGGTATGATTCTGACGAAGGCATTTTCTTTTGGCTTTATCCAGTCCTCCCTTTCAAGCCCCGATATCTTTGACTCCCCAAGTCCCGAAGAAGATAAAGAGGAACACATTTCGCTTGCGCACAGAGGACTAGACGTGTCGAGGAAGACTTCCAAGACTGTTACCATATCCCAAGTGAGTGAGCGGCCAGGGTGAGGTGTCCCTGCCCTTCCATGCATGTACTAACAATGGGTTAGAAACCAAGCAAGATAGACAAACAGACAGTGGGGATGGATGTTTGCCATTCTTTAGTGGTAATGATTACTGCAGTCATCAAAATCCCTTAGATGTGTTATAGAGTCCCTGAGCTGTGCATACAAGTGTTCGTTTTGCAGTTTCTCTTGTAGTCCACACTCTTCACAGTATCACATGTACATCTGCCAAAGAGCCCTCAGACACTGCTGCCACCTGATCAACTTCAACAGCTGGGGAACCCCGCGACAGACTTTATTAAATGCTGTGCTCTCTGCTCACAGACCTTCTCTTTTATATTTAAAACTGTCAAAAAATATTATTGGAAGATTTATTTTTAATTTTATACTTACATGTTCTCTTAAAGAAAAGTTGCCTGGGATTCATGGTTTAAAGTAAATTTATAACCTAAAGCATTTTAATTTTACTCCATACCCAGAGAATGGTAAAGCCGATTTGAGTAATTGGCTATAAGAAACAAAGAAAACATTGTTATGCTGGTCAAGTCATAGTCCCACCTGCTGGGGAGGTGAGGTAGGAACAATGACTTGATGGGCAGGGAGTTTGAGACCAGCCTGGATAGCATAGTGAACACTCCCCTTCTCAAGAAAGAGAGCCATACACACACAGGAATTGGGGGGGGGGCAAAGATAAAGACCAATGGAGAGAAGGGGGTGAGGAGAGAAAGTGTAACTCAGTGGAAGAGCACTTGCCTGGCATGTGTCAGATCCTGGGTAAGATTCCCGCTACAAAAAGGACATCATTTAGCTACTGAATGCAGCTTTGGTGAGTAAACATCGTATACACGTTCAGATCTTCCTACAAATAAATGGAGACTTTAAAACCACATCTTCTTGTATTTAAAAAAAAGCCTCAAGTAAGATTGTTTTCTTGGAACATTAGCAACATTTTAATGTCTAGAAGCACAAAACAGTAGTTATTTGAAGCAGGCATTAGCACAAACAAATCAAAGATTGGAACAAATTTTCCTCCTCATAGATTCGAGAGTTTGCATTACGGATTTTTCTTGAAATCTGATACAGTAAGCAAAACGTGATCCTATAAAGCAGATCAATTTTAATAACCCACAAAGCCAAGGTATTCTTCCTTTTCAGAGGATTCTATTTACTGAAATTGGATTTAAACTAGTTTTGTTGTTGTTTAGGGGTTTTTTTGTTTGTTTGTTTTTTTTTTTGGTGTCTGTAGGCATAACTTCAGTTTCCTGGTCTGGGTCATCCTAGGGATGTCTCTACAGTGACACCTACTGGCGAATAGTGGCTTTTCATGTTTCTGGTCTGCACAGCTCTATCCCATTAGCCTATTTCAGTTCCCTGGAGTTGTCGGGTTGGATATTTCACTCCTTCAGGAAATTCCTCTTGAACTAATTTGATCAAGGAGTGTGATGACCTAGACCATGTGAGGGACTAAAAACCTATTTGTTAGCTGCAGTGAACTGGTCTGAGAGCCCATCAGACAGAAAACAGCAAAAGAACTATTGATCTTGGAAGTATCTGGAAGCCAGTTATGGGCACTGGAGGGTCTTGAGAGAGAGGTAAAAGAGGATGGTAAATGGAAGAAGGCATGAAGCCTTGGATATATAATATAAAATAATATAATCAACAAAGAAAACAAGAGAAGAGCACAGATCCTCAGACTCCATCAGCCATAGACACTGTGCCCCGCCGAGGATCTAACTGGTAAAGGGGAGTTGAATTCCAGCTCTGATGAGTATTAGATTAGATCTAAGACTTGAGGAGCTTTCCCTATAAGCCTCAGTTTCCTGCTTGGTGCAATGCATGTGAAAGATGATCACTGTTTACATTATAGAGCTGGTGTCCAGGGTGCAATCAGAGTTTTGCCTCGTACTATGACTTCCTAACAACAGAGCCCCGGCTGGCGGAGTGCTCTCCCTGGCAGCAGAGAGTGCTTTTCCTCAATGGTAACTTGGCAGAGAAAAGGCGAACAGAGAGACTGGGAACGATAGCCCATCTGCTTTTGGCACACTCTGCCCAGTCTCTGCCTCTAGCACAGCCTGAATCCAGACTCTACCTCCTTGCTGCTGCCGTGCCAGCTGAACCCCTCCTTGGCGCCTTCCCTGGGATGGCCGGCTGAGCGCCTGCTGCTGGAGGAAATCCCGTGGTTGCTGCGCCAAGCTTTACCACCAGCTCTGGCTTCTACCCTATCACTCACCTTCTCTGCACCCCAAATCCCATCCCACTCTTTTGTCCCCCATCAGCGTACCTGCTCACTTGCCCTTGCTAGTGCTTCCCCTTTGCACCTGTCAGGCACTTGTACTCCCTCTCATCCAAGACTGATGCACAGCCTGTGTCCTCCTCGGGACACCTCGCCATCCGGCCTTTCCCGCCTTTCCATCGTTAGCCTGTCTGTCCATAGGCTTCTCCCCTAATATCTCATGCAGCTCAGGGTCTCACTCATCTGTGAAAGCAAATAAAACCTTCCTTCTAGTCTATCTCCCCAGGAAGCTTCTGCCTGAGTTCACACCCCCTCTCCTCCCTCTTCCTTCCTCAGACAAGTTTGTGGAAAGGATCTTCATTTTTGTCGGCCATGTTGCTCAGTGCCCATTCATTAGCTGGTCTCTGTCTCCATACTTGTACCTACCAAGTGGGTTCCACTTTCCTCTCAACTCCAGTGACACACTTATCCAACCTTTATTTTCCTCTAGGGACTGCCCCTAAGCCAAGGCCTTCCGCTGGCCTTTCTTCATTCCCTCTCACTATTTCCCAATTGTCAAGAGCTCTCTCTTCCTTCTCTTCTTGCTTCATTTTAGAATTCCCCAGCTTCCACCATTGGGCGTCTTCTCATCTCTCTTGTATAGACACCCATGACTTCCTCTCCCTTGGCCCAGCTTATTATTTTAGTTGCTCTCTCTGGCCACTGGGCATACCCTGTCTGTTAGCCCTCTGGTTTCTAAAAGTCAAAACCTAAAATGATTATCTGGGCCTTCCTCCATGAAAGGTACAGCCGCCTGTTCCTTCCCTCTCCATCTATGGCCCTGTGATTCTTTCTTTACCCTCTAGTCTATGTAGGTCGTCATCTCTCTGACAATGGAAAGCTGAGCTGAGGGCAGAGACTCCATTGACTTTACCCAGTCCCCACTCCAGTACCAGGAGTGATGCCCATGTCCTTTGTTAGATGTGCCTGCCTTACCCACATCTCTCAAAATAGGCTTCATTCTAGGTCATCACCTAATCATATATTCACCGTTTCTAGCTTGCATGGTGCCAGAGTCTCGGCAGATCTCTCTGGTGCTAGGCTTGTCAACTCTCAGGCTTTTCTATCCCCCACAGCACGCATGAGGTATGCAGGGTATGCGGCCGTTTGAACCATCCCCTTCTGGCCCCGCCGCCAGCATTACTGCTCCCTTTATCCGAGCCAGGATTCTCACTACTGTTTTGCTTCCTGGTCTCTAGGCCATTGTCTAGGACCTCCCCTCCTTCTAGAGCATCTTTCTCCAACAGCCTTCCCTTGACAAGATGAACTCTTAGCTGCTTGCTTCTTCCTTCCTGGAATGTGGCTGCTTTGATGTGTTTCTGGGACTCTCTGTGCTTCCTCCCTCTTGTGCTGCAGTGTATTGCGTTGTCTGTCTGCCAGTGCCCCAGTACTTTCTAAGCTCCTAGAGGCCAGGAAAATGCCTTGCTTACTTCAGGCTTTGTAGGGCTTAACAAGCAACTTTGTACGTCTCGGTGTATATGAAATCAATCTGGGACCGTCTTGCCTAGAAAGAAGATGGAATTTAAAGTACATGCAGGTAGCCCTTGGGTGGTGGTCTATCTATACCAAGTTGGCCATGGATGGCTTGTGAGCGAAGGAATAAATGAGTAGTGTGTGGAGACAGGTGTGGGCTTGGGTGTTGAAGGTTGGTTTGAGTCGCCAGGACAGGGAGGCAGCCCCTGCACAGATCCCAGGCTCTGAAGTCTCTCCACCTTCCCTCTTCATAGGTGTCGGACAACAAGGCATCCCTGCCACCCAAGCCAGGGACCATGGCAGCTGGCAGCAGTGGGCCAGCCTCTCTCTCTTCAGTGGCATCCTCGCCCATGCCATCCTCTTTGGGAACAGCTGGACACAGAGCCAATTCTCCGTCTCTGTTCAGCACAGAAGGAAAACCAAAGATGGAGCCTGCAGCCAGCAGCCAGGCTGCTGTAGAGGAGCTTAGGACCCAAGTCCGGGAGCTGAGGAGCATCATTGAGAGCATGAAGGACCAGCAGAAGTGAGTGCCAGGGACCCCTTTGCAGCTCTTTCCAGGTGGCTTTCCACTGGCTCGCCATGGCCTACTTCTGAAAGCTTGGATCTCACTCTGCCCAGAGGGTGGGCGAGGCTGCACACTGATAGTGGCAGCGGAGCTGAAAGTGGGTATGGGCTGCTGGGAGTGGGTATAAACTGCAACAGGTCCATGTTCTATTTAATTATGTTATTTTTTAAATGTCCCACCTACTATGTGCCTGCTAAGTTTTCCTGAGGTTGGACTGGTGGTTTAGGGATTGTCGACTGCTTTCCTAGGCCCTAAGTGGTACGCATACAGATCTGAATATGTGTGTTTAAATAACTATGCTAATGAATCGTAACTAGTTTATGTCAGGTTATAACTAGCTGTAACCAGAGTGTTACCAGCAGTGCTAGGACATAATCTCAAGTATAGGGGACCATCATGGTATTCATCAGGAGTTGAACAAATGTACTGTCACTGTGTTTGCTGCGATGTTTCTGAAGTTTTTGTACCATTTCACAAATGTACACATCTAATACCTCAAAACAAAGGGAATGTAGCGCTTAGAGCAGTCCAAAGAACAGAGTCCCAGCTTTACAGACTGAGTCGCTTCATTCAACTTTATTATTTTGAGTTGGAGAAGGCATTGGGCTGTAGGTCCTATGTTTGCCCTCTTTCAGACTTCAATATTGTTAATTCATGTATTTAAGGTCCAATTAGTGTATCTTAAGGTAAAGTCAATTTGTGGGATTTTGTGAGAATTAGTGAAAACATACCAGTGGCCTATTATTAAGATAGTTTCTGTAGAAAATTGAAGTATATATGGAATGGTGAAAATATCTGCAATGGGCCTAGGCAGATGGCTCAGTAAGAAAGTCCTTACCACACAAACACGAAGACCTGAGTTCAGATCTCAAGCATGCCTGTACAAAGCATCTGTAATCCCAACTCTGGGGAGGCAGAGACCAGAGGATCTTGGGTCTTACTAGCCAGTCAGTCTAGCTGAATCAGCAAGCTTTGAGTTCAGTGAGAGACCCTGCCTCAAGCAGTAAGGTAGAAAGAAATTTAGGGAGGCACATGATGTCATCAACCTCTGACCTCTCCACGCCCATGCGCACACAAGGACTTGCACATACACATGAACATGAAAAACCATGAACAAAAAGTGACTATAGTGAAAATTATTCTGTAAGTACCCAGTGGTTATAAAAGAGAAGTTAGAGGAAAGATGACGGACTACGAGCCTGGGTACTGGAATCTAGTTATTGCGAAAATCAGGCCACCACTTTGTGCCTGAGTTTCCCCATCTTCTCCTGTTGGGAGAAATTTCACCTAAGGAATTGCTAAGGTCATCTTCAGACCTGACATTTGAAGGCTACATGTTTTGGTAACAGCAAACCTTTCTGTCTAAACAAAATCTTAAGAAGTAACAGTACAAAGAGAGAATGTTTGGGGAAGGTGAGCTGGTTCAGCGGGTAAAGGGGCTTGCCACCTTAGATAGCTTCCTATTGCTGTGATAAAGACCCTGACAAGATCAAACTTAGGAGGAAAGGTTTATTTGGACTACAGGTTACAGTCCATCATCATGGGAAGTCAAAGCAGGAACTTGGAGTCAGGAACTAAGGCAGACACCATGGTGGTGGAGTGTTGCCTAAGAGCTCCCCATGACTTGCTTATCCCACTTTTTTATGCAACCCCGGACTCACCGGACCAGGGGCAGCACCATGCACAGTGGGCTGGGCTCTCCCACATCAGCCATTAATCAGAAACACTCCACAGACTTGCCTAGAGGCCAATATAGTGGAGGCATTTTCTCGGTTGAAGTACTTTCTTTGCAGATGCCCCTGACTTGTGGCAAGCTTACAAAAACTTAACCAGCACACCATCCAACAACGTAAGGCAGAGATGACCTGACTTCAGTCTCTGGAACCCACATAAAGCTGTAAAGAGAGAACCAACTCCACAAAAGTTGTTCTCTGACCTCTACACAATGTAGAATGCATGTTCCTGCTCCCATCACACACACACACACACACACACATGCACACACACATACATACATTCTGGGGGGGATTAAAAAGAAATTATTTTTGGTCCATAGTTTCTTTGCAAAAAGGTCAGATAGATTTCATAGTGATTATAGATTTTCTTATCTCTCATTGGGAAACTCTGGGCTTCGAGTTGATCCTATTTGCATTTGCTTTTCAGACGTGAGATTAAGCAGTTACTGTCAGAGCTGGATGAAGAAAAGAAAATTCGGCTTCGGTTGCAGGTGAGTCTCTCAGCACTGTGCTGTCTATGAAGCCTGAGCTCAGTTGGTAATGGAGCCAAACTTAGGGCTTCCGGTTGAAAGGAAATGATTGCCGTTGGGCATGGTGGCTCATACTTTTTAATTCCAGCACTGGGGAGGTTGAGGAAGGAGGCTCACAGGTTCCAGACAAGCCTGGGCTATATATAGTGTGAGCCCCATGGGCAGTCTGAGCTACCAAGTGAGATCCTGTCTGAAAGGGGAGGGGGGGGGGTCGAAGAAAAAGAACATGACTGGCACCATGAGAATGTCAGAGTCATAGAGTCTTATATTCTATCTTTACCTGAGCTCCAAACACTCTTGGGGAAGGAAGAGCTGAATCAACATACTGCTAGTTGGGGTTCTAGTTTGGAATTTATTTTAAACATATCATCTGTAAAATATGCCCTCCAGTTTATAGGATAATATAGGATGCCTCATCATACTAAGTACTAGAGAACATGGTAGAGCAGAGGATCTGTTGTTAGCTGGACTCCATCTCCACATTAGCCTTTTACTCAGCTCTTCTCCCCAGTGGCCTTGTTAGTCCTTCCATGGCATCTGAGCTCTGTCCCCCTCTCGCCACTGATCCAACCCTGTCCTGACGGCTGGTGGAGATCTTGTGCTGGAATCATGATGCCTAGAGAGGATAGGAAACGCTCCCCATCTTGTTGGGAGTGCTTCCACCTCCTTTTTAGGGTCACTCTCAGATGGTCTTGATTGCCTGCTCCACCCTCTGGCCATGAATCCAGGGTCATTGCTGCTTTTGATCAGCTTTGGAGCCTAGGAACCCGGGAATGACTAGGGTCTCTATTTGCCAGGGTACTGTACGTGAGTGCCTGGTTTCAGGTTTATGTTGTTTCTGGCATTGTTATCAATTCTTAACTCAGATGTCATTTTACCAGTTTCAGTCCTAAAATTGTCAGCTCGAGTCTTTGCTTTGATGAGGGTGATTATCTTTCATCTTCTCTAGTGCAGCCGTCTCATGATGCCTGTGTTTGCTGCTTCCCCTCTTTCTAGATGGAAGTGAGTGACATAAAGAAAGCGCTTCAATCAAAGTGAACTCTTGATAATTGAGATGTTACATTTTTCACCCTGAGTCCGAGACTCAAATTTTCTGCCCCAGCCAAAATCATCTTGTGCCAAAAGATTAAAGGTTTGCCTCAACATGTCCCTGTTTGAATGATTAGCACAAAAGTCTTGATAGCACAACACAAATTCCATCCAAGAGGAGACTCTCTCCCATGGTGTCATCCTGGGTCTGGCAGTGGTTGTGATTCATAGCCAATTGTGCTAAAGGCTTTTCTACCTTGAGATCTCCTGCGAAATGAAAACTCAGGCAGTTTAGTCCAGAGTAGTACTATTTTGATGATATTTTCCATTAATAAAATGTAATTTCAGATTCTTCGTTTACAGGCTTTATAATTTTATGATTTTTTAAAACCGTGTTTTGTCACAGATGCCCCTAGTGTTTGTGCTAACCTAGTCAAAAGCAAATGTCTTGCTCACTTGCTGCAGGTGGAATGAACGCCACCTGGCTTTGTATTCCCCTTTAGGATTCTGTTACATGTGCAATTTGAGGTCCAACCCTTTCCTTTCCCTGCCGGCCAACCCCCACCACTCGAAGAGAAATTTTAGCTTATATATGATGGTATATTTACAAAAAGAGAAAGAGAAAATCTGGTATTTGCAGTGATCTGTGCCTTCTTTCTACCACCCTCTTGATTGGAGCTTTTGTGATGCAGCTACCATGATTCCAAATAGAAAAAAAAAAAAAACAAAAAAAAAATAAAAACAAAAAAAAAACCAAAACAAAACAAAAAAAACAAACAAAAAAACAGCCACTTATCCTTGTCCACTAGAGGCCGCTGTCTTCGCAGCTTCTCTCACCATAGCCAAAGGTCCTAAGAGGAGACAGCTGGCAAGTCTGGCCCTGCTCTTTGGTACCAGCTGTGACTTTTCAGTTTCGCCCATTTTGAGGTTGTTCATGAAACTAGAAATGTCATTCCAGCTTGATTGTTTTATCATCAGCCAAGTTAAACCCCTGCTTCCTGCCTTTTACACCTATTGCGTGAACAGAATATGCATTATTAAAGCAAAAATAAATAAAAATAAAATGCAAATAAAAACGGGGGGGAGTTGGATTATTTCCTGCACTGGGTTATGCGTGTGTGTGTTATTGCTTAAACTGTATTCACAGTGTCATTTGCCTTGCGCACTTGTAACCCCCTCCTGAGATCCAGGAGAACAGGAGGAGGGTCTTGTGGAAATGTAGCTATTGGATCTTTCCTGCACTTACGGAATTGCTTTTTCTTTCCCAGTGAAACTGATGTTTGCTTGTCTGCTTTATCTTTATAGTACATGAGAAGTTCAGCCTTAGACTATGTAACTGTTTTCTCATCCTTAGCTGAAAATGGGGGGCATCCTTTACTGCAAGATTGTTGATGGGGTAGAGGTGGAAGGGGTGGTCCCTTGATGCTCCCCAAATATGTTTGATGTGTTTCTAAACTGCTGCTTTGTCTATTTCCTGCATTTTATAGTGAAACTACTAAACATTATTAGATTTTCACTACCACAAAGAATGAGAATTGATGATGCCGAAGGAATGATGCAAAACCCCTCACATGATATTCATCACTGAAAATACAACAAATAAATGTCTCTTCCTTTTTCTCCTTGTCTCCCTCCCCATGCCTTGTTCTCACTTGCATACTTGTCCTTTCTGCTCGAGCCTATCCCTTCCCTCCATGTATTTACAGAGTCCTGTTGCCCTAGCCTTCATAGCTGGGGTCACAATAAGAGAAGGGAATGTGTAAAGAACTCATTCTTCATTCCCGTGTGTTCGTATAGCTGCCTTTTCAGTAGCCATGGTCTCAGTGTGCTTGGGGCCAAGAGCAAAAGGTTTCTACAGCAGTGTAAATTTAGCATTCCTGTTCCCCTTCACTGTGCTAAGCCTTTCTGTATTACACTTGAAGCCTTCAGAGATTTCCTACCACCTGTTCCAACAGTGAGGACTAGATTCTTGATGTCTGAATTTCTCATTTGTTTGTTAGAAAATTCCTATTGATGATATAGCATGTTTATATAGAGTGAGTCAATTTCATTAAGAATGAAATTGAGAGATTGGAGCATCCTCAATCGGTGCTGGTAACATGGAATGTGGAGGGCTGATGTCTTTTCCTAAGCGAGGCATTGGATTGCTTTTGGGGTGTACAGAGACACAGAGAGAGACAGAAAGTGATTATAGAGAAATGAGCTGGTTTATCCAGCCTCATTACCGTCCCTTAGGCTAACCAGCAAGAAGATTGTGCGTCACAGAACTGGATGAACCACTACCCAAACAGCCACCATCTTTACTCTTGACCACATGGACCCATAAAGAATACTGAAAAGCTTGGAATGATCACTCTTTTGAAAATTAAAATTTCTTTGCATTTAGCATGGACTCAGCCAGGCATCTATGGAGATTATTTTTTTGCTTCATTTTCTAAAGTTGTATTTAGAAAAGTCTTATGTATTGTGCTTTGTAAAAGAAGATGTTTAAAATGAGAATTTGTGAAAATATTTTTGTTCAAAGTTGTCATGGCCCAAGAGGAATGATGTCTTGGGACACAAACCCCTTTTCTCTATTTTACACAATTTGATTACTCTGACAGAAATGTCCTTAGAAGACACGAAGTATTCCATTAAAAATCTGTGCCTGTGAATTCCATTTTTTAAATTGTTAGATTTTACATTCCTACTGAAGCATAAAATGCTAGCTAGGTATAAATTCTTTTCAGTGTGAAAACCATTAAATTATCATTATTGGAATAATTGTGTAAAGCCATTTTTATTTGTACACAGCCCTCAAGGCAGCACATTGAAGTACATAATCCATTTTCCTCCAATAAGAACATCCTGTATCCATCATCACATTTGTCTGTGGTTAGTAATGGTGTGGTTTTATTTCCTTTCACAAGCAGTTCCTTTATGGTAAGACTGCAGGGTGTTTAATTTATTGCTCATAGTTGCCATGGTTTGTATAAAAATAATCTCCAGGTTCCATAAGGACTTTTGTATTATAACCTGAGGTCATCACAGTCATTTTTTTTTTGCATCAGATTAGATTTTAGTCCTTTAGTTATTTTTATACAAAGTAATGTCAAGATGTTTCTGCACTAAGAGGGCTTGATGAAAAGCACTTCCCGTTGGTTCTGTACAAATGAAAAGTGGAACAAAACAACACATTTTATGAGTGACCGGGTGCTCGGCATGGCTGATTGCAGCAGCTGACAGAGGGAAGGTTGAGTGCTCAGGACTTGGCTGAGTGATGGAGGTGCTGTTCCTAAACATAGCTTGGCAGGGTCTAGGCAAAGGACCCTCTTTCTCATCCAGAAACAAATGTCAGTTGTATTAAGGACTGATAAGGAAATTCAAGACCCTTGAGATGAACCACCCTTACCTACCATGCTGAATTTTGTCCCTAGCTCACAGGGCTTTGTTTCCAAGTCATAGATTTGAGGTGGCTCCTGGACTGAAATGACCACACATGGAGAAGGTACAGCTCTCTGCGAGGTTTTTGTGTCTTTTACTTTTAATAAGACAGACCGTTCTTAGTAACAGCTGTGGCCCTATGTGCTCCCTTGTGAGTTTGGTATTCACAGCAATAGGAATTTATTATTTGCTTTCATACAGGCTCTCCCTCAAGCTTGCCGCAGTACTTCTGCCTATTCAGTGCTCTGCCTCGCAGCTGGAGGCCACCGTGCCTGGTGAGTGATAGGTCAACCAAATCATAGAACAATGTCATTTGGCTGTAATCTAGGTTTTTGACAAGAGAGGTTGAGTTTTCTCTGCCACTGTTTTTCCACAGTGCCAGAATGTATCAGATAAACTCACAATGTGCAGTGGTTTCAATGACAGCAATTTACTAAATACTTTCACTTTCCTTGATAATCCTGACCAAGATGAACCCACGTTCTTATATTCCAGTCTTAATTATTAACTCTCAGATCACAGATCACACATATACACATATTGATGTGCACTGGGAACAGAATGTTTGTAAAAGGTTAAGAGGCCCGAGAACTCCAGAGGTTCAGAGGCCCGGGAAGCAGGAAAGCTCACAGACATGTAAAGTCTCTGATGAGAGACTGCTGGTAGGCACAGGTTGGAGAGTGAAACCGCACAGTTGAGTCCAGATCCAGAGATGGAAGAGGAGGAACAAGTTCAAACAAAGGACTTGGCAGATGGAAGGACAGCATGTCCAGATGGGCAAACAGGATATGAAGATGGCAGCTGGATTAGGCTGTATGAACAGCAAGGATCGAGCCCAGCTGAAGCCCCTGTTACGTCCTTGATGCATATACTATGTGACGGTCAAATGACAAGGTGGTGGAGACCATGGCCTTTGTAGTGCTAGGTATCCATCTCTTTATATAGAGTAACAAGTTTCCTCGGTCTAGTATCTCCCTTAAGTTCTTGAGCATGGTTTCCCTGATGTGATTCGACTATGTTCATGTGTCCTTGAATTCTCAACTCTTCCCCAATAAACGTAAAGGAGTAAGTTATTTATCAATCTCTGCTATGTGGGTGATGCCGGACAGATGGTGCTGTTCAAATATTTCCTCCAGGTACCCAGTCATCTTCTCCCACCAGAGTGGAGTCTCGCAGGGCAAGGCACAGCCTGAAAAAACAATTTTGTGCAATACAGAGTAACTCAGAACAGGGTACATGTTGACCTCAATAGAGCCATTCTGTTTAAATGGAAACAAGTTTAAATTATGCAGCTAGGAAGTCCTGAGTACATCTGTACCTTACATGCCCCTGAAGACTGTATCTAGTTCTTCAGGAAAGAAGTTTGTTGATGGGCTTTGAGGTTTGGTGGGGAGATGCCTTAGAAATCAAGATTTCATTATTTCTATTAATTAAAAAATAACTCATGAGGCATCTACCAATTTTAAGCCAATTTAGCTGATGAAACCAAACACAAAAGTCACAAGGAAATGACATTATTTTTAGGTTGTCCCCCAAAGAAAAAAGTAGGGAGACCTTAGAAAAAAAGAAAAAGGATTTTTTACAAGCTTCACAATTATATGCAGTCTAAGCAAAGCAAGGGCTGGCTGAAGCTAAAGCTAGCTCTGCCATTGAATGTTCAAGGACAATAACTTGTATGAGAAATGCTCCCCTTTCTCCCTGCCTTGAGTCCAGAGAGAGCTTTGAAATTGCTCTGGTGTTCTCGGGGTGATTTCCTCAAAGAAGGTGAATCTGGACCAAGAAAAGCATGTAGCCAGAGAGGGAGAAGTGTCAATGGGACCTTCAGGTCTGGAAGTAAAACCAATTTATTTTCTTAATGCTGTGGATATGGGGTGGGATGCGAGAAAGACCAAGCAGGTTAGAACTGAGACTGCTGAATGTCAAGGTGATGGAGGGTGCTTCACTTGCTGTTAGCAAGAGCCTTTCAAATGAGTCACCATCTCCATCTTTTAAAAAGGTTTAGAGAACCAGAGCAATGGCTATTACAGTAGGCTTAATAGCTTTTTTTCCCTAGCCACGAAGCTAATAAAGCGGGAGATAAAAAATATGAAGAGAAAGAAAAGTGGACTTCAAGCTCATTTAAAAAATTGCCTTTAATTATTTTGGTCTCTCAAAATTGAGGTTTTTTTATATATAGCTTTATTTTCCACATCTCTGTCATGATGTTTTCCAAAAACTATTTGTAATGGCTGTGTAAGATTCGCTCTGTAGATATAGCAGAGAATGTAAGAGTCTTTCATCTGACATGTATAGGGTGGTTATGATGTACCACCCTATACATGTCAACATGAGGAAGGGTGTAGTCCCTGCTATCAAGAAGCTTAGAGTCAAGTGGGAGTTGAGAGCAATCAAGTAAGTAAGAAAATCATGGTAGGAATGAAAACATGACACTCAAGTCCACAGAACAGGACCCAGCATTTGCTGCAGGGGCAGAAGCCACCAGATTCCCTAGACCAGTGTTTCTCAAGCCGTGGGTCTCGGCCTCTTTGGTGTTAGTTAACCCTTTCACAGGGATGGCATTATCAGATAGCCTGCATATCAGACATTTACATTACGATTCAGAGCAGTAGCAAAATGGCAGTTATGAAATAGCAATGAAAATCATTTTATGGTTG